GAGAGAGAGAGAGAGAGAGAGAGAGAGAGAGAGAGAGAGAGAAGATTTGACACGTAGTGTTGATCACTAGTAGTCTCTATTCGGTAGTCCTATGGCCATTCAGCTTTTCCTTTTGCCTTGTTAAAGGTGTGGGTCCTCTTTTCCCCTGTTTCCATCAAGATACAGACGAGTCTTGGGTTGTTGCCTTTGGAGTCCGTCGTGGGTCTAGGCAGAGGATAGAAGTAGCGGGCAGGAAACTTGGTTCAGGGTCTTTTCGTTAGCTGGGGAAATTCTGTCCGTCCGTTGTTAGAGGGCTGCTGCTCTATTTTGGGCGAGGTCATCTTCTTCATTGAAGCCAAACCATGCTACCAGGGTCATCATTCATGTGCCTGGACTGGAAGTTGCACTGCTTACAGGTATAATCACTGAGCATGCTATTCAGGTGAAAATGGTAGCTGCCCATGCTACCAGGGTTAGCACATCCCATTGCATTTTTTTTTATATTTAGAGGCGGATAGGCCATTCTGGTAGGCACACCAGAGGCCGCAAATAAAGTCATCTACTCCTAATTTCAGTCATACGGGAAACCCCATAGCAGCGGCTAAGCAGCCAGAGCCGTGTTCACGAGAGAACATGCGGGGGTAGGTAGTGTGAGGTGAAATTGAGAGTAGAATGTAGATTACTTTTCTTGAAAAAAAGGGGGGGTGGGGGGAGAGTCATCTGACACCCAGGTACCTGCCACGTTAGTGCACCCAGAGATCATTTGCAACAGCCTGACAAAGCACTGCAATTTAGCTTCTATACAATGTACAGCCAGAAGGGAGGGGGGGATGGGCGCCATCGTCGCCATTCTTTTTCTTGTAAATTCACGAAAGGGTTGAGAAAAAGGCTCTGTTGTGGAACTCACCCAGGAGAACCTCTCATTTTGCCAGCTGCAGTACTCTAGCAACTTCACAGCATCATCCAGCTCCGGGCATGTTTCGACCTGATAAAGATTAAAAGAAACGACAGCAGTCAGTCAGTAAATCGACAAGCACAGTGGCTGGTGAACTTCATGGCAGCACTGTTTTCTGGGAAAAAAAATAATATGCGATAAAAGAGGGCAGTAGACAGCACTAAGCAGGTAAGCCAAAGAGCGCAGAGACATCAAATACCCACATGCACTTTCCCCACATTTGTGACACATACACAAACAATTCGCAGACAGTTAGAAAATATGGCATGACACTGCTGTATTGAGTCTATTGACACAATTATACCTTTTGCCGGCACTGTTTTGCAATGCAGTGTTTGGCCATGCACACCTTTAAATTTTCTTGCCTGCACTCTCCTGACCTGGATAAAAGCAGATGAAAAAAAAAAAAAAAAAAAAAAAAAAAAAGACCTGGATAAAAGCAGTCAATATGCTGTGCTCTCTTCAAGGCTTGTCTTTGCTCCATTGCAGCATCCTCTACTGCAGAGCTTTTCAGCATAGCCCACGGACAGCTGCTCAATGATGCCAGATGGATGATGAGTTTAGATTCTTGAGAATGCAATCAGACTCGTTTTCTTTTCCACTTCGCATACATGCAAACAAACGGCGATTCACGTTGGCGCAGAGCGCCCACTCAAAGCTCAGAGATATGGACAACGAGAACACAGTTCAGTTGCAAATTCACTTCAACAGGCTATGGCGCACCAGCGCCTGTACATTCCACTCTCGTTACTGTGTCCGACACCACTGCTTGCACATGCTCACTCTGGATCACCCTGAATATTCCACACACGCACACTCTATCAGCTACCTCTACCCTACGGCAGCTATGGCAGCTCGCCACTACTACTGTGGCTACTATGTCTCCCTTCAGCCCACTTCTACCTCGGGCAACCTGCAGACCACCTCCGCACAAGACGCTGTCGTAGCGCTTGCGCATGGCTTACGCAGCGAATGAATGAATGGCTGGGTGCTGCCTCTTGATTTATACTTCTGTAACTCGTTGGTCTGCCCCTTCCCCAGGCCCTTGGTACTTGCTTGACTGGGCTCTGACTGACTGGGACCGGTGCCGCTGACTGCATGGGTTTGCACTGCCAACTCGATGCAGTCGCCCTGCCGACGTAACGCAGTTGGCTCACCACTTGCCCACTTGCCTCTGACTAAAGGCCCACCACTTGCCCACCACTTGCCTCTGACTAAACGTGGGACACTTCAAAAAGCCACTTCCGGACCTTCCGGAAGGCTGTGGACTTGGCCTTTCGGGTACTGTAGCAGCTACGACCTTAACCTTTCAGGACTGTAGTAGCTACGACCTTGACATTTCAGAGCATCTACAGCCACGACCTCTACAGAGCTGTGACTCCTAATCGACAGACCCACAGATCAAACCCCTACCACTACACGGACCTGCGACAGACGACAAACAACTACCAAAACACAGATCAGGGGTTCAAACACTCAGGGGTCGACTCGTCTGGGGATCTAACTCTAGGGCCCGCATCCGTGACTCCCAGAGTGAAAACCGTTTCACTCCCCCCGGGCTAAATTTGAGGTCCTCCGAGAATACTTCAGTCTAAGGCGGGCCCTTTTCCTTTCCTGTCTCTTTCGTAGGCTCGAACAATGTCGGGAGCTGTCTCTAGCAGTTCTGTTCGCGTGAACCAGCGGTCGTCTTCTCGCTCTTGATAGGCAATTCGGACTTTGTACTGTTTCTGTGGACGACCTCTACCTCCTGTCCTGAAGACATCCTCACCTATTTCCATCCATATCCGGAGGAATCATAGATCTGTGTGACGGAAACTGTTGACTTGTGACGCAAGGCAACAGCTTTGACGCATGGAACACTGGGTAGGTGTGGAGGTGTGCTGGAATCTCAATAGTGTAGGACGGTCCATCCTCTCCGCCCTTGACTTTTAAGACTGGCCACAGGCCGCTATACGCAGGCAGCAATCTCTGTGAGATGTTCTCCTCAGGAGCGAACTCTTTTGACTTGACCCAGACTAAGTCGCCTACTTGAAACTGTGAGGGGCGACGATGCTTATTAGCTTGCTCTATCATTCTATGCTGGGCTTTCCTGAGGTTATCTACAACGATAGCTATTTCTTTTTCGTGCTGTATCGCAAACTCTCGTGTACCGGGCGGTAGCCTCTGAATCTGATCCCGGTTAAGTCCTTCAAATGGTCTGCGCAGTCTAAAGGACTTGTGCAGTTCATTGGAGTGCGACACGTAGATAAGTGCACGCTATTATTGTAGGCACTGGCTACCTTTGGGAGCATCTCATCCCAGTTGACCTGATCGGGCCTAATATACATTCTAAGAACTTGCTGCAGGAGCTTGTTCATCTGTTCAGTCTGGCCGTTAGTCTCAGGATGAAGACCAGATGACATCAGCAACTTTGAGCCATAAACTTTCATCAGCTCCTGCCAGTTCTGACTAGTGAATCTGGTATCCCTATCACTAACTATCGACAGCGGTATACCATGCTCACTGACCCAATGGTCAAGGAACTTTTGAACTACTAAGTCTGTGCGTGCCTTTGCAGGCAAAGGAACAAAAACTACATACTTGCTAAATCTATCTACTATGACCACGACTTGACTTTTGCCATGCCTACTCTTGACCTGAGTATCCATAAAGTCGATGGACACAAAATCTTCGGGTCTGTCAGGAATAGGCAAGAGTCTGAGAAAACCAAGAGGGGCACGCGTAGTAGTTTTGTTTCGCTGACAGACTTTGCGACTGCGGACATACCCTATGCAGTCGGCCTTCATACCAGGCCAGATGTACGCGCACATGAGGTTGGCTAGTGTCTTTTGCCAACCAAAGTGTCCCTCTGTATCATGGCATTCCCCTAAAATCAAACTCCGGATCTCTTCACTATTGGGAACGCACAGGCGGTCAACTACATTCGTCTTCTCGAATAATAAGCCATCAGTAGTGCGGTAGTTTGGCTCAGACTCTGGGGCCTCCCTGCCTCTCTTGAGGAGATCACTATAGATAGGGTCCTGTGCATATGCCTCTCTAACTTTCTGCTGCAGGTCTCTCCCTATATCTAGATAGTGAACTATTGCCCCAACTTAATCAGATCTTCTACTCAGAGTGTCCGCTACTAATTGTATTTCCCTTTAACTGGCTTCAGTTCAAAGTCATACAGGTCTAACGCTGCGGCCCACCTAGTAAGCTTAGGTATCATCTCGGCTTGAGTCTTCAGCCACCTTAGAGTCTCGTGGTCTGAATAAACTTTGAAGTGCCTCCCAAGCAAGTAATGCTTCCAATGATCTAATGCTTGCCTGAGAGCGTAGAGTTCCCTTTCATAAGTGGATGTCGCCACCTTTTCTGAAGGCATCCTGGCGGACATGAACTCTCCGGGCCTATATCCATCGCCATCATCTTGCTGTAAAACAGTGCCTATGCCATACTGACTGGCGTCAGTGGTAACAACAAACGGCAGGGACGGATCGGCTACCTTAAGGACTGGATATTCTATCAGGGCCCGCTTCAATCTCCTCAAGGCAGCTGTGCAGTCCTTGTCCCACTTCCAAATTGCCTCTTTCTTTAGCAACCTGCGAAGGGGTGCAGCAATGGTGGTGCAGCGATGGTGGAGAAGTTCCTTACGAACTTCCTATAGTAATTAGCCAGGCCTGAGAACAACCGCAACTCTGCCAATGTACGGGGCGTTGGCCAATCTCTAATCGCTGCGATTTTGTTGTCTTCAGGTCTAACGCCGTCTCCGTCTAGGACGTGGCCCAGGTACAAAACCTGTGCCTTGGCCCACTTGCACTTCTTTGCGTTGATCTTGAAGTTAGCCTTTCTAAGCTTCTCCAAAACCTGCCTCGGATGGCCCTCATGCTCTTGGAGGGTCTTACTGAACACTAGAATATCATCTAGATATACTACAACAAATCTATCTAACCACGGCCTAAACAAATCGTTCATGCAGCGCTGGAAAGTCGTTGGCGCACTGGTTAGTCCAAAGGGCATAACTGTAAACTCATAGTGCCCATATCTAGTCCGAAATGTTGTCTTCTACTGATCATCAGGATGAACCTCTGATGATAGCCGAACTTTAAATCTATCTTCGAAAAATACTTCTGCACCCGGTCTAACAAATCGTCTATATGAGGCAGTGGTTTTGCATTCTTCACTGTGATAGTATTAAGACCCCTATAGTCTATACACATTCTAAGCTCTCCCTCTTTCTCGAGGACAGAGAGAATAGGTGGTCCAAATGGGGACGAACTGGGCCTAATCCAACCCTTCTCAAGGAGCTCGTCTAACTGCTTACGTAGCTCCTCTAACTCCCTTGGGGACATTATGTAAATCGCTCCCTTACGAGTCCTACTGCTAGGCTCTATCTCTATGCGATGCTGGATTGGCCGCGACACTACTCCTGTAGGCGGCTTAACCAGGTCTGTATATTCTTCCAGTAGCTTGGCAATAGCAAGGTCTATGGGTGTCTCCTCCTTGGGCTCAATGACTGACCTTACGTAGGCTACAAAAACCTGCTCTTCTAACTGCTCCTTTACTAATCGCACAAACGCGGAGCGCTGAGGCAACAATGTGCCAGGGTGTTGTCTACTCCAAACACATGGAACAGGCGAGCAGTCTTAACTTCTCTACACTCGTGCTCTCTCAAATGGAGTGTGGCCCCTGTTGCCTCTCCCCAGTCCATTCCTAGGACTATATCAAAAGGAAGACTGTCTTCTACGAGGAGAGTCAGGGAATGGAGGACTTTTTCCACCTTCACATCTTTCTCTAGGCGAAAGTACGCCTGGACTCCCTCGACGTAATCCTCTACTCACATAATGCGATTGTCTGCGAGGATACTAACTATAGGGTCTTCTAATTTTTGGACTTTCGGGTTTAGCTTCAACTTCTGCAGCGCTTTCCTACTGATGTAGCTGCGAGTGGCCCCACTGTCTATAAGGGCCCCTACTCTACCTCTAAAAATATCTACGTCTACTAAAACTAGTTGTCCTTTGGCATCCTTTTTCATCTTGGCCCAGGCAGGCATG